GTCGGCAGTGCAGTCTCTGCATAGTAGCTATCCTCGTCCGAGGATTGTGAGGCATAGATCTCGGGCGCCATCTTGGCTTCAGCAGGCCGCGATGCGGCTCGGAGAAAAGCCCCTATATCTCCGGATCCCATGCCCAGATCCGCCCTCTGCTTCTTGTTCTTCTTCCCCATATTGTCGGTAAGCTGTGAACCGGTTTAGGTGCCCGGTGTGTGCGGGGATTATGGCTCCGAGCGAGTTAATTGAGCGTGTCGCACGGAGCTGTCTAAGGATGCGGCCGGTTAGCTCGGGTGCTGGCTCCGCCCCCATAAACATTTTATTTTATTGTATTCCGTACCAGCTCCTCCGGAGATCGCTGTCACAGGGAGAATTGCTGTTATGAATAAAGAGAGCATTCTGAGAAGTTCCATCACTGGATTCTACCCCGCAAACATTGATATTAAATGGTTCAAAGATGGGAAGATTCTCAAAAATGATACCAAATCCTCATATCTAAGTAACCCAGATGGCACATTCAGCCTGAACTGCACAGTAACCATAATACCCACTGAGGAGGACAGAAACCGGATCTTCTCCTGCTGGGTCCAACACGAGTCTCTCTCTGAACCTCTCCAAAAAGACTTCCAGTTGGAATATGGAGGTAACCGCTATTTGTTTTTTTTTTTTTAAATCAATGTTGTTATGAATGTTTTAAGGCATTTTTAAGGCTATGAATGTGATAAGGCATTTTTCTGTGTTCACATTTTCAGGTTTAGCATAGCAGAAGGTATGTTCTTCATTGTCTTCAAAATAATTTTGTTTATATATTTATATGTTCTATAGAGTTTTCTCTTTCCCTAATACATTTATTTTGGCAAAGTTTTTGTCTCCAAATATGTATAATATAAAAAGGCACATTAGCCAACAGGTTATCATTAAATTTGAAAATCTGGAAATCAAAATGAAATGTTCATTTAAAAAAATAATAATAATTTTACTCCAGAAAAAATAAGTAATAAAGTCACAAAGTCATGTGTTTTCTGTATTCTAGCTGTCCCATCCATTCACATTGTATCCAGTACATTTAATCTCGGTAAGGAACAGCAGTTGATTTGCAAGGTGTATGGATTTCACCCCCCTTCCATTGATATAAATTGGTATTTGGACGGTACCAAGGTAAAATCTACAAAAACTCGAAGGATTAATATCTCGGCAGTGGAGTCTGCCTACCAATTCATTCCAACAGAGCAGAACTGGGGTATGGAGCTCTCCTGTGAGGTGAAGCATGACACTCTCGTTGGTCCTCTTGCTAGGAAACTTTTGGTGGAGGGGAAAGGTGAGTGTACAGACATGGATTGTGACTGCAAATAAAACAAATTGCTCAATACATTCTATTATCAAAAATACCCAAACATGTTTTTTTTACACAACACCCATTGTATAATGTGCAGCAATCTAAATTAGGATGACCACTCTAAAAACTTACTATCTACACTTTACTAAAAAAATACAGTTTAAAAAAAAGTAAGGTTAACAATGTACATTTTTAATGTTGACCAGTTTTATACAGAGTTATACTGTATATGATTTATTTTATTAAAACATAGCAAGCTAAATGTACTAAACTGGCTGTCACTGGAATCCAGATGCACCCTTCATCTTTCCAGCCTTGGGATTAAGAGCATTTTTTTTCTGGGAAGCTCTCACCCTACCTGAGCAGAATGCTCTCCCCGCCTGTTCCCACTTCCTATAACCTCCGATCCAGTACCAGCACTTTATTTAGTCTACCTCAATACAAAAAGAAAGCAGCCCGATCCTCCTTCTCCTACAGAGCACAACAAATACAGAACGACCTCCCGCACACTTTCAAATCTTTCCCAAGCCTAAAATCTTTTAAGAGATTACTCTCGACATACCTCAAAACAGAATGCACGTGTTATGCATGATTATATATTTCTTACCTGTTATATGTTAAATTTTGTATATATGGTGTATTAATATTGTTTTTGTATTTTATTGTACCCTATTGTGTCAATGCAATGTTTTGTGGACCAGGACATACTTGAAAACAAGAGAACTCTCAATGTATCCTTCCTGGCAACATATTTTATAAATAGATAAAGTTAACCCAAACTCCCACAAATGTGCCTGAGAGACCTAAAGAAAGGACAGGGGGGACAATTTGGCCAAGAAATATTCAATACACCCCTTGTGCATGCCTATTCTCATATCCAAATGTTCTCTATATCCATCCACTATTAAAGCAAATTTATTCGGATAACTTCTGAATATTAAAGCATTAATTCAAGATCATTTGTTGTTCACTGTCGTCATTTGGAATGCAGGATTAAGCTGACATGGAGAGCGATCTACTTGTATTGATAGATTAGGTTTCTTTGTATAACCTGTTCATTGATCAATTTTTAGTTAATTTGATCAATATACAATGACATTAATACTATGTGATATTTAACAATTTGATGAGATAGAGACTCATTAGTACATTTTCCCATCACAGATTCCCAAACTCACTTTGCATACCTGCCAATATTGCTTGCCCACCATTTACGACAGAGGTCTATAGGCAAGATAGCAGGCGGCCAAGAGAGGTGGGCCACTCATGAAAGGGATGGGTCCTCTCATAAAGTGGACAGAACCATTCTCAGTGGTTGGCATGGCTGATTGGTAGTCTCTGCCATCAGGGAAAGAGCTAAAGATCTGTGTGTGGTCCTTGCACCCTGTCCCCTTCTGCATTCTGAAACAAAAACAAAATTGTTAACACCTATGTTTTAGAAAATACCTCAAGTGATGTAACCCTGTGCAGCTGCCATAGTGCAGCATAATATTCGATAACCTCAGGGTATAATTTTTCTGTCCTTTTTTTTTTCAGATCTGACAATTAAGTACAGAATTGCCGTTATAAGCTCTGCATTCATGGTGGTGGTGATATTTGGAATTATCACTTATTGCACGTTCAAGAAAACATGTAAGCTTGTTGCAGTTCATTCATTCCCTCATAATCTCATAATTTAGGGAATATTTATTAAGCCACTGTATTAGACGTGTATACATTATGTTTATAAAAACCTCAGAGCAGGTCAAGAAACAGGCAGACTTAACTTTAGAGATATACCATATTTATAAACTACATCAGTCAATAGAAAATACACATCTATAAACGCTGCAAAATGAAATCCTTTAAAATGCAAACAATACATGAAATCTTTTACAAAAAAAAAAAAAAATAATTGGTATTTTCTTTTAGCAGATGGTAATGGCCAGATGACAGAAGTGGACTACCATAGTATGATAGAGCACACTGGTGAGTCTGGTATGTATAACCCTGTATGTATGGCTAAATTAATTTCATAGAGGATCTTTTACACGTGGACAACAATAACTTCTCCAGACGTAGCAACAAAAGTGGTAACATAGTAACTTATGAGTCTTCATTTATAAAAAAAACATGACTGATGCACAGTTATCCTACAGCCAAATGTCCATAGGGGAAAATAATGATGGTTTGTCAAGGGCCACCGTGGAATCACTTTCAGATAAAAATATTATTGTTCAATAATAAATGTGATACACGCAAGGATGGGACAAAAGAAATGTATCACGCAAGACTATCAGCATATAGGGAGAAGTGTTGGATACAGTTACACTCATGCTAACATACATTCTATAGGGAGTCCTGCTCTTCAGGTCAGGCAAATCAGAAAGAGTTCCTTGGGAACCTGCTGAACCTCTCCTTTTAGAATCCATTTTTGCTCTATTCTGAGTCTAGTGTTGGATAAATAGATCTTTTTATCCAATTTAGATTATCAGCTTGCTTGAAGGACCTATTATAGTTGTAAGAATTATTTTTCTTCTCAGAAAGAAACCAGAATCACTCTGATCTTGCTTTTTTTCCCATACTGGCAGCATTTCTCCTTGTCCCCAAGCAGAAGGCCATATAAGACTCTCTCCTCATAGAAACATAGAATGTGACGGCAGATAAGAACAATTCGGCCCATCTAGTCTGCCCAATTTTCTAAATACTTTTATTAGTCCCTGGCCTTATCTTATAGTTAAGATAGACTTACGCCAATCCCACGCATGCTTAAATTCATTCATTGTGTTAACCTCTACCACTTTAGCAGGAGGGCTATTCCATGCATCCAATATTCTCTCAGTAAAGTAATACTTTGTGATATTATTTTTAAACCTTTTACCCTCTAATTTAAGACTATGCCCTCTTGTTATGGTAGTTTTTCTTCTTTTTAATATAGTCTCCTCCTTTACTGTTTTGATTCCCTTTATGTATTTAAATAAATATATCATATCCCCCCGGTCTCGTCTTTTCTCCAAGCTATACATGTTAAGATCATTTAACCTTTCCTGGTAAGTTTTATCCTGCAATCCATGAACCAGTTTAGTAGCCCTTCTCTGAACTCTCTCTAAAGCAGCGTTTCCCAATTGGTGTTCCACCCAAAAAACTGAAAAAAAAAATGGCCGTGGGCGGTGAGGGAGCAGTGATCTCAATGTTGATGCACTATGTCAAAGGGTTCCACGGGAAAAATTAATTGGGAAACCCTGCTATCAATATCCTTCGCGAGAAAGGGTCTCCAGTACTGTGTACAATACTCCAAGTGAGGTCTCACCAGTGTTCTGTACAATGGCATGAGCACTTCCCTCTTTCTACTGCTAATACCTCTCCCTATACAACCAAGCATTCTTTACTTTATTTCATTATTACTTTATTTCTTTCTATGATCCTTTCTTTTAAACATCTTAGTATATGTTCTACTTCCTAGGTTATGGGAATATATTATATATCAACAGTTACCTAGAAAACATGACTTGCTTTCAGTGGCGTACATACCGGGGTCGTAGGGGTCGCGACCCAGTATGTACCCAGTGTGGCCAGCCTCTTCTCCTGGGAGTCCCAGGAGCTCGCCACCTCAGGGCCCCCCGAGGCTGGCCCTGGTATCACTGGGCAGGCAGGTTGGCAGGCGCGCGAGGGAGCACTCTCCTCAGAACACTCCTTCTTCAGCTCTCTTGCGCACCGCACTGATGCCGGAGCTGGAAGATGACGTCATCTTCCGGCTCCGGCATCAGTACACGGCGCGCGAGGGAGCTGAACAGGAAGCACTCAGGGGAGAGTGCTCCCTCGCGTGCCCACCAGCCAGCCCACCGGGGACACCACTGGACCCCAGGGAATCCCCTCAGCTCTCCCAAGGGTAGGGAGGCGGGGGATTAATTTTTTTTTTAAACAAGTGTGAGTGTGTGTGTGTGTGAGTGTGTTAGTGTGTGTATGTGTCACTGTGTGCTTCTGAGGGTGTGTGTGTGTTAGTGTTAGAGTGTGTTAGTGTGTGTGTGTTAGGGTTAGTGTGTGTGTGTGTTAGAGTATGTCAGTGAGTGTGTTACTGTGTGTGTCTGTTACTGAGTGTGTTAGTTTGTGTGTGTTTTGTGAGTGTGTATGTATGTCTGTCACTGAGCGTGTGTCTGTCAGTAAATGTGTGTGTCTGTTAGCTAGTGTGTATGCATCTGTTCGTGAGAGTGTGTGTGTGTCTTAAGCACTTACCTTTCTCCAGCGCCGGACTCCCTTTGCGCTGGGGATCTCTCCGCCCCGATCCGCCTCACAACTCCGAATGCGCATGCGTGGCAAGAGCCGCGTGCGTATTCAAACCGCCCATAGGAAAGCATTGCTCAATGCTTTCCTATGGACGTTCAGCGTCTTCTCACTGTGTTTTTCACAGTGAGAATCGCGGAAGCTCCTCTATGAGACAGCCAGTAGAGGCTGGATTAACCCTCAGTGAAACATAGCAGTTTCTCTGAGGGTTGGTAGGGTGCCTGGCAGGGAGGGTGGCTGGCAGGGAAGGACTTAACACTGGGTAGGGATATTGGCTGTCAGGGAAGGTGTTAACACTGGGTAGGGATGTTGGCTGGCAGTAATGGGGTTTACACTGGGAAGGGGCGTGGGCTGACAGGGAAGGGGTTAACACTGGGTAGTAAGGTTGGCTGACAGGGAAGGGGTAAACACTGGGTAGGGATGTTGGCTGGCAGTGATGGGGTTTACACTGGGAAGGGAGGTGGGCTGGCAGGGAAGGGGTTAACACTGGCTAGTAAGGTTGGCTGACAGGGAAGGTGTAAACACCGGGTAGGGATGTTGGCTGTCAGGGAAGGGGTTAACACTGGGTAGGGATGTTGGCTGTCAGTAGACATTGGGTAGAGATGTTGACACTGGGTAGATAGGTTGGCTGACAGAGAAGGGGTTAATACTGGGTAGGTGTTGGTTGAAGGGCTGGAGGAGAATGTAGTACTTACATTACAGGGAGGGAGGGAGAGGAGCACATATGTGCTGTAGCTGAAGTTCAGTCTGTGCTGTGAGCGTTCCTTACACTAGATAAGACACGCCTCTAATTTCATTGGCTGCAAAAGGTAAATTTCTACATTAAAAAAAAACCGGTTCATATGGTCAAAATGTAGTTATTCCAACCAAATAAACATCATTGGGTCAGTAGAATTCAGTGTTTGGTTTAAATGTATTACGTCATGCATGTGTAATCTGTATAAACTATAGAGTATGTATATTTCCCAAACACTAAGTCATATACTAGATTTCAACCCGATCTCTCCTGAGGCAGACAATTCTGATAAATATATCCACTTTCTATTTAGAAAGCAAATTTTGTGAACTCCAGCTTATTACTGAGCAAATGTTGAGGAGACTTGCCTGTCAGAGCACTGTGACTGGCCGCAATGCTCGGACTGAGAGTTCAAGTTGTGGAATGATCTATGTAAAGGTGTTTACCTCTTTGAATGCTCACCTGGGGCAGAACACTCCATTAGCTTGCACAGATATTGGGACCCTTCTCACTGTTGTTAGTTTGAGGGGGTAGGTAGGGAAAGATTTAAGGGTAGGGGGTAGATAGCTCTATGAGGACCCCAGCACCTCAGGAGAAAATGTTTTGGATGGTCCCAGAGGAAATGACAGGCACATTATTAACATGCCTAACCCCTTATTATACTAATATTCCAAACCAAATTCCCATGGGTAAAGTGTGACAATTGGCAAGTCCTTATACTTTATCCTCAAATACCCCGACGGCTGACCATGAGTGAGGACAGAGGGAGACAACTGGCATATTACTATTATATAGCCTTCAACGGCCCATAATTAGGAGTAGAAGGGATGGACAAAAGCATGTCCACCTCCCCCCGATTATGATTGTTTTATCCCCCACCTAAAGCTTATAGATTGGTGGAAGGTAGGGGGATGTAGGCATATCAACCTATGTATTACTGGTAAGCCTCCACCCTATGTTTATGTGACAGCAGGTGAAACTACTGACAGTTCCCCCATTACTGAATAGCCCCATCCATTGGATTGGGTCTTTATTGATTGGGTAACAATAGCTACACAGCTGGTGAATTAAACACCATCTGCTGGGCAAGGTGAGGAATAAAGAGGGATCAGATACAAGTTCACTTTTATTTGCTTTATTAGAATACCCCGCCTCATTTCTCCAGGGTATAGTTAGTAATGATTGAGCTGCTCACCTTTCAGTGAATAGGAACCTGCCCTATGCTTAGGCTATGCCTAGTGGCACCAGTGAGGTAATGGTTTGGAGTTTTAGAATAAAGATCTAGAAATACTTTGCATCAAATATAGAATTCAGCCATTAATTTCCAGACACAATTCAGAGTAGTTGTTGCAGTTTTGCAAATCTGGACCAGAGCCTTTATTTTTTTAGTAAATAAACCTGCATATAGTACACTTCAGTTTTGGGGTTGAATGCTGTAAGATAAAGAAAACCCCCATTCTATAGTTTGTCCTGTTAAAATTATTCTGTATATATTAAAATTATTTTTTAAATTTTCTTCTTAGACAAAAAAACTAATTTTATGAACTTTCTGAAGGATCTGGAAATGGAAGGTAATGTAGATTTGAAGCTCACACTGAAAGATATTCTGAACATTGGCAAAGAAAATGTAATGGACACCAAGCCACAGGAACTAAATGACATTCCCTGGCACTACCTGAGGAATTTAATGGCTCTCAACAGGAATGCCAGAAGTACTGATTGGGAGGTAGACTCATCTAAAGGGATGGCTATCCACCCCTTGGATGTTCTGTGTGTTCTCCTCCATTGTTCAGATAATTTTTTACAACAGGAAATTGTATCAAAAATGTCCATGTGCCAGTTTGCTGTCCCTCTGCTACTCCCTGCTGTTGATGGCTCAAACTGCACCCTCATGCTGTGGAAAATGAGAGATATTGTGAAAAGGTGGAGACCTCAGTCATTAGAAGACAGTAAAAGGTCTATGGAAGATAATGTGGTGAACATCCGCATGCCAACCTTCTCTTTTGCAAGAATGGGGAAAGCCAAGTTATCCAAATCTAAAATCCTGAATCATATTATTAACCCAACTCAACAGCTTCATGACTTTTTCATACATGACAACATGGAAGGAGGGAATATTAAGAGGAAAGTATCTGATGGACTAGTGGAAATGTCCTGGTATTTTCCTTCTGGGAGTGAAAATTCTGACATTTTCCCAGAGCCGATTGCAGTGACCAATCTACGAGGAGACCTGGAGTCTAACCGGACACAGTTCAACTTTTTAACCCGGGTCTCATCAGCTGTGTTTATATTTACTGAGAGCATCAGGGAGAAAGAATTCAGACTGTTATCAAACTGTGATAAAGACACAAAGTATTATTTCATAATTACTCCAAATATGGAAAAAGATGAGAATATGAAAAAACTAAATTCTGTATTAAACATTGAGATTATATCAAAACCATCCTCCTTAAATGATAAAGATCTGGTTAAAAAAATAAAAAGCAAGATTAAATTGTCTGTAGAACAATCTCCCTTTAAAATTTCAATTGAAAATATGGGGAAACAAACCTATGAACTCGATATCCAAGTAGATGAATTTTGTGAGGAATGCTGTAAAGCCAAAATACATGCTGGGAAAATTGTTGATGAGATAAAAGATGTGGCTCAGTATAAGAAGGAATCATTAAGTCTGCAGGGAGATCTTTGGAAGCAAATATCTGAAAAAGAGAAAGAGATGTTTAGACAGAGAGAGAAAGAATCAAAGAATGATGAAGAGTATCAGGAGGAGCTGAACTATCAATGCATTCAACTTCGTAAGAAGCAATATGATCATAACATTTCAAATGGTATGCAGCTGTTTATTGAGGCCATATCTACATTTTCCTCCCAAGAGAAACATTATTTTTTAAGGTGGATGAAATATTATCTGGATTTACTGTCTAGGAATACGCTCTCTGGTCTACTATTAGAATACAGAACAAACTGTGAAAACCAGTTGAATCAGGAAGAACTAAAACAACTGGATCAAAAAAAATATGAAAGCTCACTGGGAATTGAGCATTTCCTACGTGAGATGGGACAGGTTTTTGAGGCTGAATGCTTCATGTTAAAAAATGAAAAAATACAAATGCAGAATGCCCGATTCAGCAAGCTACCAGACAAAGTTGCCGATCTCCTTCTGAAAGGGTTCTCATTAGAGTTGATTGATGGAGATGCCTCCAACATCCCACTGCGGTGGATAACTGATGTTCTAACTGAGCTGAACACCAAGACAGGAGAACGATGCAGAATGAGAGTGATCACTGTGCTGGGAGTTCAGGGTACGGGGAAATCCACCCTTCTGAACAACATGTTTGGGTTGCAGTTCCCAGTGGCCAGTGGTCGGTGCACACGAGGGGCTTTTATGACACTTATTGGAGTGAAAAAAAATCTCCAGAAGGAGCTGGGCTGTGACTATATTCTGGTTATTGATACTGAAGGTCTCAAAGCTCCTGAACTGGCTTCTCTGGAGGACAGTTCCAAACATGATTATGAGCTGGCAACGTTAGTAGTAACATTGAGTGATATCACCATAGTTAACATGGTTATGGACAACACAGAGGAATCGAAAAGTATTTTACAAATAGTGCTTCACGCATTCCTTAAAATGAAGGAAAAAGGAAAGAAACTGAAATGCCAGTTTGTGCATCAGAAAGTTGACATGTCTGACGAAATTACGATAATTAGACACAAAAGCAAATTCCAAGAATTATTAAATGAAATAACTAAAATTGCAGCAAAGGAGGAAAATAAAC